GGATGATCATGCACGTTTTTCGATCAACATACATACATCAAATTAATTATAATCTTGTTTAATCTATGTTGGTTGATTATTAATGCACAATTTAATCTAATACTTGTGATTACTTGAATTAAATTAATGTTAAACCTACCAATTATTAACTATCCTATTGGGCGTGATTTCAGTTACATAATTCCCTTTAAACCTGCAAAAAGGGGGCGTGATCAAGCAATAGCAACAAAATAATCAAGCAAAATATAATTATCATAATATTATCATCATAAAAATATTGTTAGTAGTAAGATCCTAGGCATGATACTAAACAGATTAATAACAATCCTAGCATGTTACTAATAACAAAATCGACACGTTATCCTAAATATGATTTCTATTCAAAAAGTAATTAAATTACTTACTTTAATGTTTCAATCTTCTTTTTATAAAACAATACACACGTTAGTAAATTTCAAGAAAGTAATATCAGTAAAGTAAATAATAAACTAAATTAATTAAGAATAAAAATCTAGGATGTGTTTAGGCTAAGAATATTGGTTTTGAGAAATTTCGGGTTGTGTGTTGATGATTGTTGATAATTTGAAATCGAACGACCTCTATAGGTAAAAAAGAGAGTCAAACGATTGAAAAAAGATTGATTAGACGTTCTAACTGTGATAAAACTCTTTGACGCGTGCGACAGGTTTGTCGAGGCGCAATGGCCTTTGTCACGTCGCGACAGGACTATCGCGGCGTGATTATCCTTGTGCGATGGTTTCAAAAGATAATAGTTCGCAAGTATATTGTTTTCTGATGGTTTATCTTTGCAAAATATATCCAAACATCTTCTGCTAAATCAAGGATTACCATAAGAGTTCTATCCAATCTGAAACTCTCGATTTTTAACTTTTTAGGAAGGATAGATTAGAATCTTGTAGAAAATTCTAGAAGATCGTAGCTGATTTAGGATTAGGAATATGATCATATAGGGCCTAAATAAAATATTTAGACTTCATACAATCATTGGGTCGTACTAAAAGTTGACCTAGGCTCGATTTAGCATTTTGGCCATATCTTATTCGTTTTAAGTAGGATTTGGGCTTATAATATATTGTTGAAAAACTCTTTTCAAACCCCATCCAATTAAACCAATATTAGACGGAAAATGGACCAAAATAATCAGATTGGTCGTTTTTTACAATTTGGGCATGAAATGAATCTTTTAAGGACACGAATTGAATGTTTTTGGATTTAGGGACACCGAATGAATGTTGTTGTATTTAAAAGCAGTTTGTTTAAAATTAGAAAGATGGTCTAAACTCAAAGAAACTTTGCTCAACCTTTAAATTCTTTGCCTAACTCGTTAATCAAAACTTGAAAGACACTTATCACTGAGTTTGGTGTTTGGGGAGACACAATTAGGTGTTTACGACTGGTATTAAGGGTTGCGACGGCGAGATACACCATTGACTGTCATAGTTACCCTCACTGTGTTTTCCGACTCAACTCAACGACTCGCAAAGATTTGACTCAAAAACGACTTAGAACTGACTATTGATATTTTTAGTGCACGTTTTTTTACTCACACTCACGTAATTTTAATTTGTGTTTTTTATGTTTAGGATAGAATTGGATAAGCTCTGATACCATGTTATAAAAAGAGATAAAGCAAAAAGGTTTAACAAATAATAAACTGATATTGCTTCTTCATAATTCTGCGTGATAAAAAATTGAAGTACAAAAGAAACTCTTATCATTTAAATAGGCTAACACTAAGCACAACTACTACCTAATATTAAGGCCCACTAATGACAAACTATCACTCAAATTGGAGAAGCATACTCCACGTACTACCACTAACAATTCTTATCAACTAAATAACAAATTCAATTGACTCCTAAGATTAAGCCACTAACTACCTAAGGAATAGGAAACAATACCCACTAATTTTTGCCGCCTAATAATCCTAAATAACAAGTGCTTTCTTCAATTCCAGGTGCCCACAAATTAAGCATAAATTTGAAGAAACTAAAGATGTAAAAATCACATTACATACCAATTTTCTAATGCCGCCAAATTTGCTAGCCACTTTTTTTTACAAATTAATTTGGAGAAAACATTAATTATATTTTTAAAAAATGGCAGTTTCTGTGTCTAGGGGGAGCTCATTGAGCGATAGCTCAAGGCCCTCCTTTTGTAGGGCCCACATATTTTTTTAATATCTTATTATTCACAACAACAACAACAAAAACAACAACAACAACAAAAAAAAAAAAAAAAAAAAAAAAAAAAAAAAAAAAAAAAAAACTGGTCATAAATATATGTACGGTAGACCTATAGTACTAATCACAAATGTAACTGGTTCTTAATCTAAAAATGAATCAAAGATCATTTTAATTAGCTAAGTGATTTTTTTTGGGATTCAAATGGAGGAAGCCGAACAAAAGGAAGAAGCACTGAAATAGGGATTTGGTTTTTATCTTTATTTGCTTAATTTTTCTTTTGCTTTGTATTTTTATATTTTCATTTTTTCTTTTATGTGAGCTTTTATTTTCCTTTTTTCTTGTGTACTTTCTCTTTTAGTTAATTTGTTTGCTTTAATTACCTAATTTCTGATACGTTAGCTTTAATTAATTAATTTCTCTTTTTTATTAATTTTTTTATGGATTTAAATTCTGGACTTTTTTAAATAAAAAAAATAAGGTGTTGGATAATATAGCTTGTGAGGGTTTAATTGATGAATTTCCTTAAAAAAAAAAAAAAAAAAGCTAGTAGGACGAGATTTTTTGAGTAATTAGTATGTAATCCATAATTTTGGTGAACTTTTTAATACTCGTATAAAAGTATATGAAATATACTACCATAATATAGGGGTCTTTTTTAAGATTTCGCTCCGGGCCCCCAAAATGTCCAAGACGGCACTATTTGTGTCGTAGAGTATCAATTGTTGTTTGTTTTTTTTTTTGGAATGGCGATGCAGTATTAATTAAATTTGGTTCATGTAGCCGACCCAACTTATGGGATTAAGGCTTTATTTGATTGATTGAATGGAGATGCAGTATGGAGTTGAGTTGTTTGCAGTGGGGTTGGTGAAATGGAAATGGGGAAGTATCAAGTATGGAAGTAGTCTGCAGTTAAGTTGATGAAGTGGAGAAGTGTTGGAGTAGTGGGAATAGTTTTGCAGTTATACGATAAAGCACATTTCTTTAATGTAGATTTTTTTTTGGTTGTCATTTTAATCTAAATTTAAATTAGATTGGATTTTTGTTGGAAAAATGGGGGATTAAGGTTAATTAGGCGGGAATGAATGAGAGGTTAGTATTGGGGTTTTGGGGTAATCTCGTTAAACTGACTCTTAAATTATACTTCCTCCGTTCTGTTAATATTGCAACAAGGAGGAAATTACGCATCTCAAAACACATTTTATATGCTAAATATCTATAATTGTGAAAGAGTAAAAATTATAAAAAAGTTGATATTGTGAAAGTATTATATGAGACGAATCCAACAAGATCCCACTTGACTATATTTTGCTTAACGTATAACTCATATTATATGGTCAAACAAGAGTGATGAATAGTGTAAAAAGTCCATTATTGCAATATTAATAGAACGGAGGAAGTATTAAAGATTCCCATCCCACTCTCTAACTCATGAACTACCATTCTCATGTTCAAATGCCCCATACCTGTAAAATCAAAGGACACAATGATATTTGGTTCCAAGTAGAGGGAGGAGTGCCTTTTCCATTCACATAACTACTCATAATATAGGGATTGATAGAAATTGCAGTATATTTTGTTGAACTAAATGAGGTAAGTTGGGTCTGATGAAGCTCACAGAGGTTCCTTTATTTTTCATCTTTCAGTTTTCTTGATTATAGGTCAACTTTTTTTTTTAACCCTTCCTCTCTTAATGGAGTTCTTTGCACGCAATTCTCCATGCCTGGGTAAATGCTGAGAAATATTCTTTCATTAGCTCCAGTCCATTTGATTAATAAGCAATAAGCCTTAATTGAGATGTCACTTACATTGTCATTTAGTTCAGCTAGTGCCTAATTGAATGTGTGATGAATATAAATTAATTAGGACCATTATTTTATAAGACTAAAGAGCTTTGGTTGGGTAGATGCATATGGGTGAGTTTCTAACATTTTGCTATTATGGGAATATGGCAACTTAGATGTGCTAGAATTTCACATTACCCTCTTCATTTTTCAGTATACCACTGAACAAAAATATAAAATCTGGATGAATTTCAGATGTTTTAGTCTATCTAGACATTGTAGTGTACAATTAATATTGTTCCAAATCACTCACACTATCTATTAGTTGGGGAAAATAGTACCATGATTTCCAATCAAATTATTAACACATGTGTCACCCATTATATTATAGAAATTAGAATTGGAGCAAATTGAAAATTTATGACAGAATGGCTGTTTGGTAAATGAAGAGGCATTGCTAATACTGTATTTCTTGGAAGATGATAAATTTTCGAGCATGTCTCTTACTAATACTGTATTTCTTGGAAGATCTTGAATTACTACTTATCATTGCAAAAGCATATAGATTATTTCATGTGTTCCACACTTGTTTGTCAATCGTGGAAGGTCTTTTTGCTTTACGCAAAGTTGAATGATCAGATGCTTTCTGTAGATAGAGTTTTGAATTTGAATACAAAGTGGTACTGAGGACTATCATGGATTTGTGGCAAGGCTTTATGTTTCAGTTTAGCGTCATGTTTATGTACTGAGCTCCAAATGAAGGGAAGATAAGCTTGCGTGCAATATGGATATTATGTACTCCGTATAATTATATGACTTTCATTAGCAGGTGAATAATTCTCAGTGCAATAAACAGGAAGTTCCTTTTCGTTGTTGAGTGACTTTGTAATATTGCCTGCTGGCACGTGGATAATCGTCATACAGTTTTTTGGTGATTTTGTTCTCTCTGGTCTTTCTTTGGTTGTCTTTGCTAATAGGCTTTGAACCTTGTAATTTAATTTCCAATTGGCAGGTGTTGGATGAAATTCTCAATAAACGTGCTAGGCCTTCTGAATTATCTAGAATATCCATACGTGTGAACTCACACTCATTGAAGACACACGCTCTAAATGATCTTCTGATTGCACATCCTTCCCCTGCAACATTGTCTCGGTTTTCATTCAGGTAAGTAGTATATCTTGTTTTTCGATACCTCTATGTTGTTTCACGGCATATATAACTATGTAAGTAATACAATTTTCTTATTGTTGGCAGGCTCAACAGAAATGGGGAGTCATGTGGCCCATTAGTAAATTGCCGGTCGAGTGGTTTAAGGGTTTCAACAGCAGCCGGATCAACTGCTGCTATGCTCTCTGCTGGTGGATTTGTGATGCCCATTTTGTCTAAGGACCTCCAGTACATGGTGAGAGAACCCATACTGCCAAGGGGTTCAAACTCTAGCATGATGCATGGTTGGGTAAAGTCCGATCAGACCATGGAAATTGCTTGGTCCACGGAAGAAGGTTGTGCATACATTGATGGTAGTCATATCGCTCATCCTATTAAGAAGGGGGATATCATTGAATTATCAACAAAGGCCCCTGTTCTGAAGATTTTCCTGCCACCCCACTTGTTATCCTCTTCTAATGAGCATGCCGCAAAATTGTGAAATTTATTAGCCTTTTTCATGTTTGGAAATTAATGGAACAGAAGGATAAATTTTTTGAATCTCTTTTTTCTTATTTCATTGTAGTTAGTTTTGGAGGGAGTGGTTCTAAAAGTCTGTACATAACAAATAGTTCTGTTTCATAGCAGGAAATTCCACTGACTCGGGTTTGATCCACATTTTTGTTGTCAGGATGAATTTTTGAAGCACTTGAGATAATCCTGTATCAGATTAAGAAAGGATTACATCATATATCAAAAAATAAATTTTTTGCAGACTTGCTTGTGTTGGGGGTAACAGATCAACAGTTAAGTCTTTCGATAAATTAGGGTGAGATGGTGTAACCTAAACGTTTTAATTTTGATTTCTGCCCTTGATCTAAATACGGCAATTCTGACTCTGCTGGTGTAAATCATCTGTTGGTTCTCTTTACTTCAGGATTTATACATGAAGTTTACAGGGAACATATTGGTTCAATATGCTACGTATTTCTCTTCACGGAACAGTCCAAATCTAACTAAAGATTATGCTAGTCTAAATGTACTGGTGTAAAGGACAAGTGATATCTACTTCAGGTGTCCACTATTCAAACAGACATTTGAGTCTCGCAAGCAGTTGGTTTGATACAGAAGGATGAGCTGGCTCTTCATGACAAGATAAGGGACAGCTGAACTAAGCATCGATTACCTAAATCTGTCATGCTCAGAAACAAAACCAAACTTTTACACTTTCAAAGAGTATTTGGGGATGTTAATAAGAAGTATAAAAGATAGTTCTGTTCAACTTGAAAGATTCTTGTAATCTCAGTCTATGTCAGGCGAAATGCCTCCAAAGCATTTGTGCTCAACAAGTGCAGGAAAGCATGGTTCTAACTCTTCTAAGGATCAGAGCAATGACAAAAGCAGAAGTACATCCTGAAATGAAATTCTGCCGGGTCAGAAGAACTTGAGAAGTTCAGCAAAGAAATAACAGTAACTAGATTTTTAGCTGGCCTTGCCTGCAATTTTGGTTGCTGATTTGCTATGAATGGAATCACCATACTATGAGGAAGTTCCTTTTTATGTTTTATTTTTTTATTCGCACAGGAATATGATTGAAGTCCATCCAAGGCGATGATATTGACAAATATACACTCTAACATTGCATTGTCTTAGCTTCTTGTTAGTTTAGGATTTAGGAGTCTAGCAAGCTTTTATACATTCAAATTACGTAGGTAAATAAAAATATCCATCTATTCTAACAATTGCCTCCTGAAGCAATATTTCAGAATATACGTTTAATCAATCATCATAAACTGAATGACCTTCAGAAAATGATACCAATCACTAGTAAGGAAACATTGGAAAATTATAAAATTTAGTCACAGATCAATTCACAACGTACCATTCTTTGCATCATTTCCCTAATCAGACGAACATATTTCCAATGAAGTTTGTCCATCGCTTGCCAACAACCAAAAAAAAAAAAAAAAAAAAAAGACTCATGGACCTTGCAAGTGAATGAACAATCAACAAATATAAAACGTCCCCTCGTTCACACCGGACAAAGGGAAAGGTCAACGTAGCCTTTGACTATGCAGCTACAGATGAAAATTTTGCTACCAGTCCTACCACTGCTATTTTGTGTGTATTTTTGTACAATTTGACGTATAAAATGCCGATACTAATAAATTCTATAGTTCTGTTGCATTAAGATGTATTTCGGAAAGTGAGAGAGCTTGAACCAGCTAATGCTTCTGTAACATCAGTCGTGTTGCAAACTTCTTCAAAAGAATTGATCATTGTGCTAAGCAGCCAGAAGAGGCTCTACTTCTATAGAAAATATAATCCAAAATGTAGCTCAAGACTTCTGTGGGCATGTTTAGCAGCAGCAAGATAATGAGTTTACTTCTGATCACATCCTGAAAAAAACAAATCTTGATGTGATTAGACAGCAGATAAGACAAAACCTACTTGTATCTAGATGATACAGATAATACTTACGTGAAAAGCTGAGGGCGGTTACGTGATAACTGAGGCCGCTTTATAGGAGAAAGAACCAGATTCCTGAGAGTCATGGAGGGGTTAGAATTTCCCGATCCAAAGGGAGGATGGCCACCGGGCCTTCTGTTTCCTGCATCAGTTGGGACTGGTGCTCGCCTAGCTGGTGAGCTAGCTGAGACATCAAAGGCTCCTCCAGAGTTGGAACTGTTTTGCCTTGCTGGCCAGATATCCTCCCTTGGTCCTGGAGTATCAGGAGTAAAAACCAATCGATCTGCAACATATAAGTCAACTGATTTTTCTTGGGTGACTTAACAAAGAAATACAAAAATGCTTATTAACGAATTTATTAGTACACATTTTATCAAAAACCCTCAAATAACAAGATTTAACTCTTTAAAGATTGGTGTATCACTTCTTAGAAAATTTACTCCGCTCTCCCACGACACCCAACACAAAAGCTTCTTAACGAATTTCATTTGAAAGTGGCATTAAATACGGAGAATTTAACAAAAGAAGCAAGATTAGGCAGCTAAACTCAGAATGCATAATTGCATACAAGGAGATGATATAACCTTTTCTTAATGTATCTTGGTTATCCATCAAGTTGGACGGGTTAGAAAATAGATCAGGCTCAGGTCTGGAATAGAAGTTGTTTGCAGGTTGTATAGCTGAACGTTTGACTGAATCAAACTCGCTCCTCAACTGATCATACATTTCATCAAGTTTTCTCTTCTGTCTGGCATCAGCACACAATCGAAATGAAGTATTAGAAGAAAGGAAAGGATTTCAAATATATAAAATAATCAGCCATTATAATACATATTGGCCTGACAGCAATAAGCTACCAGACAATATTCACCTAGATTTCTCAGCAAACTTTTCTTGCAGTTCTTGCTTATCTTTGGACAAGTTCTCAATCTCTTGTTCCATCATTTGACACCTCTTGCCCATTTTCTGGTATGCTGTATGCATCTGCTCCAGTTTCTCACTGAACTTCTCTTGCAACGCCTCACATTTTTGTCGGCATTGCGTCATTAGCCTGTTCATCTTGCATTGCATTTCTAGTTCCTTTTGCCCAATATAGAACATCACACTTCTGTATGCACTTTTCATCACTGAGCTTGTTTAAGGAAAGACAATACACATTGCCAAGAAAAAGTATAGATAAAATTCATTTATTGACAAGATGGTTCCTGATAACAGCTCATTAACACAGAGCATGTCAATTACTGAGCTCATATTTTATTCCAAACAGAATTTTGGTACCTCCATGAAAAAGACTGCAATTATGACTTATCAGGGAGTTTAAGGATACATATCTGAGGTGAGACTCCTGCCATTGCCATCTGCAATTACAAGGAACAATACAACAAAACAGATACGTTAAAAATTAAACAGAAAACAATCCCCAAAAGTATGTATGTATATATAAAAAAAAATATGATCAGAACATAGATAAATGTCAAACAAACAGGTTGCTAAACAAAGTAAGTTAGGAAAGCGCATAACTTACATTAACCCATTCATCATTTGGATTGATATCCACAGGTTTCATATGACTGCAAGGATGGAGAAACGATAAATCAATTAAACATAGCAGTCAGATTTACAGATAGTATCACTTACAGATAAGGGCAGCAAGAGTTCATTGCATGCTCTGATTTTTCCAGAGAAAACTCAAGCAAATCAAGTTGTCAAAACAGTTCAAGTGAGAAAATGATTCCAAAATTGTTACAGAATATTTACTATACGAACCAGCAATAATAATTCTCTTCTAAATAAAAAAAAAAAAAAAATTCAAACAATATAACAATTAAACATCTAGTTAAGATCCAGCAAATTCACAGAATTCATAAAAGACCTCACCTCTTAGATAACACCTGATCGCAGATGGGACACGCTCCATCACTGTTAAGTATCTTGCCTGCATCTGATGTGCCTTATGACATGTTAAGTGAAACTTGAGACATCTTATGAATTTCAAAATGAGTATATAGAGGAACAAATTAATCACCAACCATTGTCCTGTTAACAATAGTATGGGGAGATCAACATATGCATTGGTTCATCCATATCAAGTAGAGAGGTTATTTCCAAATATTAAACAAGAAAACCTAAAGATTTTTAGAGACACTATTTAAACAGAAACAAGCATCAGGATACACAAAAGGTGGCCACAAGTGGTCGATACAGCTTGACCTTCCAACTCTCTCCAACACGCATTGCATCTCATTTTAAACTTCAGGTGAGTAATTCAATTGATGGCATTATTAGGATTCTGATATCCTGTTAAAATTTACAAAGAAACAAAAAACATGACACTTTATCATAAGCTTCCAAAATGCACTTAGTACAATTTATACAAAAATTTTCAGCAGTGCAGCAGCATGAAAGATGCTCTACTAAGAATTGACATATATTGCATACAAAGTTAGTACTGAAATGGACTATGTGGCACAGCCTGCAGGGAAAACATGAACAAGTGTTTAATCTACTACGTCCCTGGGTCAGCAGAAGGGAAAAGGATAGGTGGTTGATTAAGAGCTCTAGGGACAAAAGTAACGAAATTATTGTTTTTCACCAAGGCTGTTTGTGGCCTGGCACTACACAGATGGACAGTACAAATGCCAGAATCAATTATGGTTTGCAGTAGAGACCATGAGCACATGTAGCTGTACCTAGTTTCTTCATACCCCTCATGAACCACAAAAAAGTTGAATTAATACTTAAATGTGGTAAATTTTAGCCTAATTTAACCATACTAGGTAGTGAATTGTATACCCACACGGCATACTCAACCTCGTATGGCGAATTATGTACCACTAATTCATCATTCTTTTGATCTATCACTTTTAGCAACTTCCAAAGTAGAATCTCTTCCAAAGTACACACAACATGCTGAAAACAAAAGGCTTGAAACAGACAGACTAATTGATCGGCGTGACTGCTATGCTAGGAATAAGGCACAAACACAATAAATATGGAACAACGCCAAACAACAGGAATAAGAACCTAAACTACTCTTATAATTTCATCAACAGCAAACAGGAACTGCTTGATCACCAATTGAAGAAACCTATTTTCCAAAAGTAGTATAATTCATTCCAAATTAATTCTATATAAAATTTGAAGATAAGATTTTGCAACTCAGTTCAGATCAAAACGGTAACGCCCAGGCTTGAGCTCGAAGCCGACGAGCCTCAAAACCCAAGCTCAGCTGGGGCTCCTACAATCTCAAAAAAGCTTTGCTAAGTGACTCGATTAGGTTTGCAAATTGCTAAAACATAAGCAACAATATTCGACTCACTCATCAAACTAAGCTCGAAAATTCAAATAATTTCTACTCTCTTATGATCATCGACGTAAATTGCAGAAAGTAAAACTCTAGCAACAAAATTGCTCACTACAATCTTTCATAATTTCAGCAATTATAATCAATCAGTTCAATAATCAACCTTATAAGAACCCTAATTTTACTATACTGACAATTAAAGCGACGATAGTTTGAAACTAAACCCTAGATTGTGAAAATGATATTCGATGATTAAAATGGGGGAAAAACATCTTACCTCAGAAGTGCTTCAATGGAGGAGTGAAAGCTCAGAAGCTGCTTCAATGGAGAGCTTGGAGTACGGTTCAATGGAAAAGAGAAAGCTCAGAAGCTGCTTCAATGGAGAACTCAGAGTACGCTTCAATGGAGGAGAGAGAAAGAGAGACGTGCAACGTTAAAGAGAAAAGCGCGAAAGGGGAAAATATTGAAAACACTACAGATATATAAACATTCCCGCTTTCAAAAAAATTTAAAAGGTAAAAAAATGAGAAAATATAAATTTATCACTTCTTTTTTATGATAAATAAATTTTGTTTATCTTATGTAATTTTCGTAAATAAATCAATAAAAAAATTTCAATTAGTATGACATTTTTGTAAATAAGTCAATATTTATGGACCTGCATATTAATAAAAGTTGTCCACTTATTTACAAAAATGTCATGCTGACTGGGATAATTTGTTGATATATTTACGAAAATATCATTACGTAAACAATTTTGTTTATCATGAAGATGAATGGTGGCTCCCACCTAAAAAAATAAGAGTACTTTTTTTTTCTTTTCCTTTTTTTTTTTTTTTTTTTTTTTGGTGCCAAAATTTTTTAACTTTAGAAAGGTAATTAAACATATGAAACACATTTGTTAAAAAAAACATAATATTTCATTGTTTAACTTAACGGTGCACGTAACAAAATATATGTTAATGAAATTTTTTTTAATTATTCACTTTTAATGTTTTTAAGCAAAATATTTATTGACACATTAGTAATTTTAGTCACGCTATTAGCATAAGTATGTAAGTAATCTACTTGTATATTATAATTGTAGAGTCAATATCACCACAATCCCCAATCCTCACATTTTATTGATCATTTTTTTTATTATTATTTTTTTTATATTTTTAAAACATCAATAACTACCCTACCCACAGTACCCAGTCCACTATTTTTTAGTAGTATTTTTTTCAAGTATACCAATAAGCAATAACCACCAACATTTCACTTTAGATAGTTTTTTTTCTCATATAATGTTTGCCGTGCGAAGCACGGCTGCATGGGTATGCTCTAGTATCTAATATATAATTTAAGAGTCGTTTTTACAACTTCTCACCACATCACTCTAATTCTGAAATGGAGCAATTCTATGCGTTCTATTTAATTATTATTTTTTTTTTGGATAACTTCCTCTCCAACTTTAACCATATCACTAATCACTTCCACTTCTCTTTTTTTTTATATTTTTTTTTTTAAAAAAAAAACCTATACCATTATAACTTCCACATAATTCATTTTCTTTTACATATACATACGACATACGTATATTCCGTGCGTTAGCACGAGTATACAGTTCATTTATCAACGATTCACAATAGCACTCAAAATCCCCAACAATTCACTTTTTTTAAAACACTATGTGCTAACCCTTCACTTTGTTTTACGCCTATTATTTTTTGGTACGTTGTATAATATATGTCATGCATTAGTACGAATATACAGTTCCTTTATCAACAATTCACTATAGTACTCTAAATACCCAAGCCTTCAACTATATGCATTTTTTAGGGACTACCCTCCAGACAATTTTCACTTCTCTAATCATCAAAAAAAAAAAAGTACAATACGTTTTTGCGCAACTGGCCTCACCGAATAACTACTTGCAACAGTATAAAGTATGCAACTCCTAGAGTAAGACACTAACCCATATGACACTAACTGAGTAACCCTTATAACACTGAACGGGTAACCTCTATAACTTTGACAAAGTAAACCCCATAATAGCTGGCTACATTGCGTGGCCACCGACATAAAAGAGTAAGACCCTGTTTTTTTTAGCTTCCATGCAAAGCAGAGAATATCATATTTCAGCAGAGCAATGTCAGCAGGGTAGAACAAGTGTCAGCAGATTATTAATACTCAGTAGAGCAGAGCTAAGTAGGGTTCAACAGAGCCGACCAATTCAAAACCGACCATTGCAGCTCAAGTCTAAGTTATAACATCAAAATCAACATTCCGTATTTTAAAAATATTTTTTCTTATATATCACATGCATTTTACACGGGTACACTCTAGTAACTGATAATTTCAGAAGAAAAGTGTATATGAGTACAAACTGTAATGCAGTGGATAGTTGTCTATATATGTGCTCAAACTCTAGTCAAAGAGGATTATAGAGTAGTAATGTTGTGAACTGTTAAACATCGCCCGCAAATTCCTACATAAAGCCCACAAAATAAGAGTGAAATGACACTTTTGCCCTCAAACTAAAAAACACAATTTCTCTCTCTACTCTCTACTTCCACTTTCTCTCTCTAAATTATTTCCAGAGCTATGTCGAGGCGGCCCGGCAAGGAAGTGGCGGCACCGGCGGTGGGCGGAAGGCGGTTTGCCGGCCAGAAGGTAATTTTTTAAATTTTTGTAATTTTTTTTTTAAAAAAAAAACCTCCGGCGACGGTGGGGCGCCAAGGCGAGACGCTACCACCACGGAGGAAGCGCCTAGGCAAGACGCCCATACGGTGGCGGCGCCTAGCCCAGACGCCACTACCACGGCGGCGGCGCATAGGCTAGGCGCCACAGCCGTGGTAGTGGCGTCTGGGCTAGGCGCCGCCACCACCGTACGGGCGTCTTGCCTAGGCGCCTCCTTCTCTTTTTTTTTTAAATTTTTTTTTTTGTTTTTTTTAATTTTAAATTTTATTTTCGAATTTTTTTTTTTTTTTAAAAAAAAAAATTGTTTTTCTTTTTTTTAAATTGTATGTTCCCTTTTTTTTTTATCTTTTTTTTTTAAAATTTTGTTTTTTTATTTGTTTTAATTTTATGTTCTATTTTTTTTTTAAAAAAAAAATTGTTTCTGGTTTTAATTTTTAATTTTATGTTCCTATGTATTTTTTTTTTTTTTTTGAATTATATTTTTGTATGTAAAAAAATTATAAGTTCCCTTTTTTTTTTTTATAAATTTTCTTTAAAATTTTGATGTTCTTCTTTTTTTAAGTTTTTGCAATTTTAAATTTTTTAAGTTTTGTTAGTTTTTTGTTTTTGGTTTTTTCTTTGCATTTTTGATTTTTTGTTTTTGTTTATGTTTTTCATTTTTTAGTTTGTTGTTTATATTTTTTGTTTTTGGTTATATATTTTGTTTTTGGTATATTGTTTTGTTCATATTTATATTTTTTTATGTTTATATTTATATTTTTTATGTTTTTATTTATATTGTATTGTTTATATTTTTATTTTTTATGTTTATAATTTTATTTCCGTTACTTGTTTATTTGCTTTTGTGTTTATTTTCGTCCTTTTTTGTATTTATATTTTTTGTTTTTGGTAATATTTTTTGTTTTTGTTTTTGTTTATGTTTGTTTTTTTTTTGTTTGTAGTTTATATTTTTTGTTTTTGGTATATGTTTATGTTTATATTTCTTATGTTTATATGTATATTGTCTTGTATATATTTATATTTTTTATGTTTATAATTATATTTCCGTGACTTGTTTATTTGCTTTTGTGTTTATTTTCGACTTTTTTTAATTTGTTTTCGTTATTATGTTTCGTTATTTACTTGGAGTTAGGCATCGCAATTTGGACCTGGTGCGGGGAAGAGTATTGACGTCGTGAGGAGTACGATCTACTGAATCAGTCCGTTGACCGCCTGCGCTCCATACGGTTATCGCTTGACAGGATGTCCCCCTTAGAGGTACAGTGGCCGGAAAACATGATATCCATGTGGGAGCAGTTTCCGATGGTTGCCCGCCTATGGACGGCGGAGCTGCAGCGGCCGCCAAGTGGGGTGACTGCCATGTGTGACCAGCACTACATGGAATGGTACATCCGGCACTCGCACCCGAGGTTGATCAAAGACATCGACGACGCAGATGATGACGATGTGCCACCTGCCACTGCCTCTTATGCGGTACGTCTCATCTTTTATTTGTTGTTCTCTTATTTTAATATATATATGTATAATACGTCGTTTCATGTTTTTTGTTTTGTGTAGTGGATGGGCAAGATTATGCAGTTGGGACACCGACTTTTTGAGGAAAGGGACTGCATGACGAGTGCATCAGGCAGAGCTGTTATTGACGATCTGGAACGGACCCTTGAGCAGTGGCAGTGGGCGTCACAGAGGGATTACTGATATTTGAAATTAGACATTATCTTTTTAGTTTGTAATATTTGAAATTATTGTTCTTAGTTTTTAAAATTCAATATTATCTTTTTAGTTTGTAATATTGTGAAATTATTGTTGTTAGTTTTTAAAATGAAACATTATCTTTTAAAAATGAACACATAGAAATGACATAGTATTGACAATACAAGGCCTCATAGTAAAAGGTAGGTGTACATCAACAAAAACTACATGGCAATTAAATTGTTCCACTGTTGCACGCGAGCATGGTACAAAGCATCCCAACCCTCCACGCTTGCTCTACGAATTTCATACCACTTCGGTATGATATGTGGGACCGGAAAATCGGGTGACATGTCTAATCGGATAAAATGTCTGTATGACGGCCCAAGAAATCCAATAGCAACGTCCCTTACCGGTCTGGTGACGGTCTCGCGCGAACACCAGGGCAGAACCGTTGTACATGGATAATAGGCTCGACTATGTAAACCAAGGCCGAAATGCATGACTGCACCCTTCACTTCCCAACCGTCACGCCTTTGATGTTGTCGAACCTTAACTCGGAACTGACACCCACAACCTTTTCGCTTTGAGTCAAACCGAATCGCTTTACTGAAATCTCGTTCTTCTCTTTTGCGATAACGGTCGCATCTCAAAATGCGATCCATTCTACCATCCCGTTGAGATTTATGAGTTGCTACTACTAAACAAAAGCCTGATCTAATTGCAACCTGTTTTGCCCAATCAATCGCTTGTTGAGCATCTTCGAACAGGCCATCATGTACAAAAATCCCACTGTAATCATTTCCGTCTCCACCATAATCCTGTAACAATAACATATAACGTATAAATATAATTACATTAAGATTAAATTAATACACTTAACACAAAATTATCACAAACGCAATTTCTAAATTTTAAATTTCTAAATATCATTTTTATATTTAACGCATAATACATTTAAAAAACAAAATAATAACACACATTTCATTTCAAATTTATCAAACATAAATAAACAAACAAAAAAAACCATAATAAAAAAAAATAAACAAATACAAAACAAAATAAAACAAAAACAAACACAAAATAAAAGATGCATTAAAAAAACTTAATTAAAAAAAAAAATTAATTCCCTCCAAAAAAAATTAAAAGGAAATAAAACAACACAAGCAAACAAAAACAAAAAAATTCCAAAAAAAAAACAAAACAAAATAAAACACCACAAGCAAAAAAAAATCAAAAACAAATAAACAAAAAAAAAACAAAACAAATCAAAAAAAAAACAAAAACAAAACAAAACCAAACAAAAAAAAAACAAACAAACAAATCAAAAAAAAAACAAAAACAAAACAAACAAAAAAAAAAAAACAAACAAACAAATAAAAAAAAAACAAAAACAAAACAAACAAACAAAAATAAAAACAAACAAACAAATAAAAAAAAAACAAAAAAAAAAACAAAAAAACCAAAAAAAAAAAGGGGATTAAATTAAAAAAAAAAAAAAAAAAAAGAAAAACAAACAAAAATAAAAACAAACAAACAAATAAAAAAAAAACAAAAACAAAACAAAAAAAACAAAAAAAAAAAAGGGGATTAAATTAAAAAATAAATAAAAAAAAATATATATATATTCCCCTAGTGGCGCCTGGCCAGGACGCCGGAGCCACGGCCTGGGCGCCTGGTCAGGACGCCGGAGCCACGGCCGGGGCGCCTGGTCAGGACGCCGCCGCCATGGTGGCGGCGTCCTGGCCAGGCGCCCTGGCCGTGGCTCCGGCGTCCTGGCCACGCGCCACTACCATGTTCGAGGCTTCTCCACTAGGCGCCGTTACCACGGTGGCGGCGTCCTGGCTAGGCGCCACAACCACGGCATGGCCTTTTGGCTAGGCGCCAGCCACCATTTCGTCCTTACGATGCGTTACGAACCTCGTTTTCCGATGACGACGGCGATTCTCCGGTGATCCTCGGCGATCCGGTGCTGCTCCACATTTTTTTAGTGCGAAAAATTTATCTTCGGTTAAAATTATAAAAAGGGCAAATTTGTCAAAAAATTATAAAATGTGGGCTTTATGTAGAGATTTGCGGGCGATGAATAACAAGTCCCGTAATGTTTAGGGGAAGTTAAAAAAAATTCTCTAATGGTGTTAACGATTTTACTTTATTTATTTAAACCTCACCATTAGCATTTTTAGGAAGTAAAATAAAATTTTACAAAAATGAAAAAGATATTGATGTTCAAGGCCTTGGAGGAGCTTACTATCTTCCTTTCTCTTTAATGCTGATTATGAATGTTTGTCTAACCAATATAGTGAAGAAGATGAGAAGGATAGGCTCGTATAGTCGTATATGAGCCGAAACAATCAAAGCATTCAAATGGTATTAAGTCAAGACAGGCCCTGACATGATATGGCCTTAAAAAAAAAAAAAAAAAAAAAAAAAAGAGCTCGATATGATACAAACACGAGGTAGACATGATACTAATTCTCTATGATACATGTTCTTTAAACTTGGTGATTACATTTACAAGCTAAGAGACCGAAAATTCTTGCGTGTGCATCAAAATCAGTTCTCTATTTTTTTTAGATGAATTTTTTGTAAAACGTTTTTTTTTTTTTTTTTTAATTAAAAAATGAGGGGTAGCTATAAATCATGATAGGATAGGTTTTTTTTTTTTTTTTAATTGCACTTATAATGGGTGAAAATGTAATTTTTAAAATGTTGAAGGGTATTTTAGGAAAATCAAAATTTATCAACCAAATTATCATTTCTCTTTATATAATAATAATAGATTAATGCAAACTTATTTTACTAAACTAAAACTATTTTTTTTGCTAAACTTAATTTATTTTTATTAAACTTAAATTATTTTTATAGAATATTGTATTATTGTTTGGATTAGACGAAGAAAACAAAGCCTCAATACGAACTATATTATGAATAGTAAAAAAAAAAAAAAAGTCAAAGTGTGTCAATCATTATGAAACAAATGAAGTATTACAAAAATGCCAATTGGTCTTAATAGCACCAACTATAGGTTGGGTGCTGATAATAGCACAACCTTAATTGAGTGCACTCTATATCGCAAACTATTAAGTTTGGTGCAGAAAAAGTCATAAATAATATCGGAGACTGGAAATTCTACATGCCTTTTAATTATAATTCACTTATTGCCCCCAAGTAGTAAAAATTAATACTTCTACTTGAATTACACCGACGTAAAAGAGGAAAAGACTAAGGGCCTCTTCACATTTACTGAACTGAACTGATTGGAGAAAAACTGAACTGAACTGATTGGAGCTGAACTGAACTGAACTAAGCTGAAATGAATATTTTATGAGGGAGGGAAATTAGGAGTTGAACTGAGTTGAACTGAACTGATTGGAGCTGAACTGAACTGATTGAAGTTGAACTGAACTGAACTAATTGAAGTTGAACTGAACTGAATTGAAATTAAGTAAATGTGAACAGGCCCTAAGATCAATCCTAAAATCTTAGGCAATCACTTGGCACAGTACAAGTCATTCTTTAAATTGTAATTTGGTAAATTATAGATTTATGAAACTCAATTTCTACATTTGTATTGAATACATGCATTGGGTTACTCTTCTTTTTTTTTTTTTTTTTTTTGACATAATTTTATGAAATTAGGTTATTCTTTGGTATTATGATGATTTGTTGATATGATGTGTTTTCTGGATGAATTTGCATAATTTGTGTCATGAAATTTCAATTAAGACACTAGAAAACTTATTTTGCCAAACATAATCTATTTGATTGCAATTCATCATGAATTACAAAATATGTTAAAGAAAAGTAATTAGGGAGTATGTGCTAGGTATCATAAAATAACTAAATAATTTAGGGAAAATTAAAATAAATAAAAATAAAAAGGGGGGGGGGGAAACTCTTTTCGATGTCATTTAACACATTTTCTGCACCAAACTTAATAGTTTGTGATGTAGATTGCACCCGGTTAAGGTTGTGCTATTCATTGTACCCAATCTATAGTTGATGCTATTGAGGCCTAATTTTACCAAAAAAAATTACAAATATGTAGAAAAAGTTAATCTCGTCCAAGTTAGGATTTTGACCGATTTATAGGTTCAGTCAGATTCCCATACTAACGCGACCATCCCGTCTCTAAATTTTACAGGTAAAATATCATAGTCCGATCTCATTCCATATGGTCCAATATAGGTTGGCAAAGAGGCCTACAAAATCAGGATGCACAATATAAACTTATAAAGCCAGTTATACAAGCTGACAAGCTGTCTTTGTAGTACAAGTGTGTAGGCGCTTTCAAAACATGAAAGTATCGTAGATCTTTTTCTGTTGTCTCTCTTTCTTCCTCAAATATGAGCCCCAATTTGACTATTGAAATTGAAAGAAAATCTCAAGGTTCTTGGCCTTGTCCACTAACACCAATCACTTAACCACCACGTGTTTCTTCTTTCCCCTCTATTTTCCACCACTTTCATTCATTCTTTAATTTTAACACTCCTATTTAATAATATCCCTTTCTCTAAACCCATCCCCATCTCATACTAATTTAAATATATTTCTTTTAATTATAAAACAAGTTTTTGGCCTAAATGATGTCCCCAATCATTATATATATTAAAAATGAGCTTTTATACATAGTAATAACAATTATAGATTGTTATTATAGATTATTGTTGAATATTTATGTATAAGATTAAACATTAAATCTTCAATATTTGTGATTATAGTTAAGTCTTTTAACAAAACATTTTAAGTATAAGATGTGTTATTGGAGTAGTGGTTGAAGTTAAAGTTTAATGAAATATATCAATAATAAAACATTATGCAACATTTTTATCTTACAAAAATGTATTCAAATTTCGCTTATTTAGTATCTTACGTGTCATAATAATACTAATTTATCGCCTACGTGACTCTATACTTGGCGAAAAATTGGAATGTCAAGTGTCAATGCTCGTTGCCTGCAAGACCGGTTTTATATATTAGTGATGATATGATATAGATAAAATTTATAGAAGAGAGTATTTCATAGGTTTTACAATATCTAACTGTTTGACCTTTCATATTATTTATATAAGCGTATTTCTTTCATTACACTTTACTTGCAACAGTTTTGATCCTATATATTTATATTTGTTGAAGGATTTAATTCAACCAAAAGTTTAAACTGATCTGAGGCCCAAAAATATTAATCTTTAGCTATTAATGTCTTAAATTAACTGAGTAAAAATCTTTCAAGTTGGTATTATAAAACTAAACATTAAGGTGAGTCTAAATGTCTAATAAGATTATACTTGACTATATTTTGTTTTACATATCAATCACTAGTTATAATAAGTTCTGATTATAGGCTACCTAAGTTCAATCTTTAATTAGTACAAATTAGATGAATCGAATACGTTGCTTGATTATATTTTTACTTTTGTATATATCACGATATGACTTAATAACAGAGTGTATGGATGATGCAATAATGTTGCAAGTACAGTACATCCTCTGTGTCTTTTTAGATGTTTTATTTAGTTTGACCCACACCCTTTCCAATCTGTATCTTTAACAAAAATGTAAGTATTTAATTAAAAAAAGTACGTAGTATAAATTACGGAGTATATAAAATTGATATTAAAAAACTAGCGGAATAGGTGGGGGGGGGGGGGGGGAGGGGCAAACTATGTAGTTATATTTTGTGCATGAAATAATACAGAGTATATCGAGATGTTAAAAAAAATGAGGCAGCAAAAAAAAAGTGTCAACGGAAGGTTCGAACTTGAGATTTAAGGAACTCAAATTTTACCCAAAATCAACTAAGGTCTTGTTCTTTTGAGCTTCTGAGCAGAGTAGGGGTCAGCAGAGCAGAGCAGATTTCAAGATAGCAGTACAGAGCAGAGCAGAGCCGAGCCGAGCAGAGCAGGTTTCAACATTATTATTAATACTATTGTTAATGTTATTATTATTATTATTATTATTATTATTATTATTACTATTGTTGTTGTTGTTGCTGTTGTGTTGTTGTTGTTGTTATTATTATTATTATTATTATTATTATTATTATACGATTTAAGTGAGTGAAAACATAAATACATGTGTACCATATTTAAAATATGTTAATAGTAGAAAGATAAAAGACAACGGTTTACTTATATTTATTTCACAAAAATTTTAAAATAAAATGATTTAATGAGTAATAATGAATATTTTTATGAATTTATCTTAATCATATATTTTTAACCCTAATAATAATAATATACAAAGTACTACTTGAAAACAACCTCTTTTTATAAAAAAAAATCTTAAAATGTTTGGAAAGATTTGAAAAATAATTCAACTAAATGAACTAACAATCAATACCCACAGAAAATGTTTTTACAAATTGTGATTCTAATATCAAATGTTTATAAAAGAAATTGTTATTATTATTATTATTATTATTTTTTGAAAGAATTGTTATAATTATTAGAAATTATTATCAATAATATTATTAAATATTAATTCTTAATATTTTGAATTATTAAATATTATTATTGATAATTATTATTATGATTAATAAATATTAATTATTATTAATATTAATAATTATTAAAATTATTTTTAATATTAGTAATTATTATAATTATTCAAAATAATAAATTATTATCATCAATACAATATTAATTATTATTATGGAATATTAATTATTATTGTTGTTATTATGAATTTTTATTTGAAAATAGAGCAGAGCAGATTTCTTTTGAGCCAAGCAGATTTCTTTTGAGCAGAGCAGAGCAGCTCTAAAGAACGGGGCCTAAGGATCTGTTCACATTTACTGAACTGAACTGAATATTTTATTAGAAATGGAAATTAGGAGCTAAAGTGAATTGATTGAAGCTGTACTGAATGAACTGAACTGAAACTAAGATGAAATGAACAGGCCTTAAGTTATAATACACTAATTGGTTGTTGATGCAGTGGTGATTGAGAATGCACTTGGTAGGAGAACCTGTGACCCCCCGCAACAACAATTGGGAGGAGACTAAAACCTAACCACCCAAAATCGATCCCGAGCCTGAATTAGCCCAAAGGGTGAACCAAAATCCAGGGGAGGCCAAGGCCCACCTCAGCCCCTAGTTCTGCTCCTTCATACATGATTGTGTTTAATCTTATGCATATAGCCAAAAAAAAAATAAAAAATGACTTACTGTAAACTAAAGAATTTTTAAAATGATACTCGTAATTCTGTAATATGTGAATAGGATAAGAATCAAATTGAAATATTTAATTAAATTTTTGTTAAAAAAAAACAGAGGAAGTGAAAAGTAATAGTTTAATTTCTTTTTTAAAAAAAATAAATAAAAATACTGTAGTTTAATTAGGAAGTGTAAAGTCAAAGAATGGATGGACAAAAGAAGTAATTGAATTGAATTTAAATACTGTCCTTAAATTTACCACCAAAATATCTTTCCTCTTTAGAATTTTTTAATTAATCAAAACATCCTATCCTTCCCATTCCATTTCTCCAAGTTTCGGTGCATTCACTGAACCCAACCAACAAAAAAAAAAAAAAAAAAAAAATCAACAGAACTTGTTCATCACACATTTTTCTGGTTTCCAGAATCTCTCTGTAACTCCACCATTTCATTTTCTCTCTCCTAGGGTTTTGCATTAATTTGTATAATCAACCATGAAAATTCAATGTAATGTCTGTGAGACGGCCGAGGCGACCGTACTTTGCTGCGCCGATGAAGCCGCCTTGTGCCATGATTGCGATGAGAAGGTTCATGCTGCTAATAAGCTTGCTAGTAAACATCAGCGTGTTTCTTTGTCCAACTCTTCTTCTCACATGCCCAATTGCGATATTTGCCAGGTTTTTTTTTTTCTCTGAATCTCTGATTGATTTTTGTTGTTGTTCTTTTTATTTTTGATGGTTTGATTTGATTATTGATTCCAATTCTTTGATTTCTGCGACCTAAATTTTTTTGATGAATATTTTCCCCTAATTTTGAATTGGGTGTAGTAGAAAAATAGTTGAAAATACAGGAAGTGCTGTAAATCAGGATAATTTATTCTCTATGTTTTTCCTGATATTTTTTTTTTGTAGTTTCCAACGCTTATTTCAAATGTAAATATATTTAATTAGGAAAAATTAGTGTAAAGTCTATGTTTAGAAAATAAGAATTGAGACGAGTTCTTTCAAAAAAAAAAAAAAAAATAAAAAAAAAAAAAAAAATAAAAAATTGAGACGAGTTTTTTGAGATCCCACATGACATTGTTTTTTTACGGAGTATTTATTAGTACTTCGTATTATAACTACGGATTAATATTTAGGCGAGGATTAATTGTCAAATGTTTGGTTTTGTAATCGCGCCATGTTGTCAAGATAAACAAATAGTGACAAAGGGAGTATGATTAAATTAATCATTTTTGGATCATGTGTTAAGGTACAAATGACCTAGTTTGACCCTAAATAATTTGAGTTATTTGGTAAATTTATTCAAAATCACATTCGTTTGTTTAGAAAGACTTGCGTGGACCTGGTTCACAATAATATTATTGTGGACCCGAGGTTTATACACACGCAACTGACATTATTTTGGATATAGTGACCCTTATTTTGAACATAGTAACCATATTTTCAACATAGTAACCTTTATTAATACTTGTATAACGTTTAATGTTATTGTGAATTTAAAATACGACGTTATGACCCTGATTTTAACATAGTGGCCTTTATTATTCATATTGAATATTTTATCAAAAATATTAACCTCTTATAGCCTATATATTACAAAAATGACTTTTATTTCAACTGAACTTTTTTTATTATTATAAAAACCATTTTTATATTAATAAAACAACTATAATTCCTCTAATGATAGTGATCCACAATAAATTAGTGTGAACCAGGTCCATTTAAGAATTTGTATCGTTTGTTATGTATCACATTCGTTTGTTATGTTATTACCATATAGATGGTGTTACTATAACAAAATTATCATTCACTCCGTCCCTAAGTAATAGGGCAATAGGGGATTAAAGGGCGTTAATATAATTGGATTGGTATACGATAATTATCCCTATCAATTTAAAAACTTACATTTTTTTATGTCACAAGCCCACAATGTAGTTTGTATGGGTTTGGTTTATTTATTTATTTATTTTTATTGAGGGTAATATGGACAAATTAGTTTTCCTGTTTAAATTTAGAAAGTTGACTGCTATTTCCGGACATTCCAAAATAGAAATGTGGCGTATATTTAGGGACAGAAGGAATATCTTTTTTTTTTTTTTTTTTTTTTTTCTAATTTTATTATGGTTATTGTTTTCGAATTGTGCAATATGTGAGGTAGTTGATGACAAAATATCCTAATAGCACTAGTAATATTGCAGCCCCATGTTTACTCAAACCATTCAAATTTGTGAAATATTGTTTTGTTTTAGGCTGTAGTATATTGCTTTGAAAGGTAGGGATCAGATATAAAGAAGAATTATCATATTGTTGTAAAAAAAACATTGGAAATGTTGATCAAATTCTGGATGTCAAATCTTTCTTATTTGCTTCCAATATTAATAAAGTAGCAACATCAATTTGGTATTGATAATCAGCACTGTAATTCTCAAATCTGCTCTGATGTTTATGGGGATTTTCTGATTTTGAGAAGGAAGGCAATCTATGACATGACGTAGGGATGATGTGATTAGTATATCAAGAGATGTATCAGTGTATGAAAAGGATATATGGGTCTATGAAGTAAGATATTGTTGATGTCATGATGTGTACCTTAAGGGAGTCCAACCTTGGTAAATGTGATTTGCAAATATTTGGTTGCATCAATATTAGGTCAATGGCCTTGGCATTTGTATACTATTTTTGCTGTTTCTTTGTTCACTGCATTTCCCCTCTATACTTACTTTATTTGTTATGATGCGACATGGAATGTATTGCAGGAAACAGTTGGCTACTTCTTTTGCCTTGAAGACCGAGCTTTACTTTGCAGGAAGTGTGATATTTCCATCCACACTGCAAATGCCTTTGTCTCAACCCATCAAAGATTTCTATTAACTGGAGTAAAAGTGGGACTTGAGCCCACGGAACCTGGTTCTTCTTCTTCTGTAGGGAAAAGTCATTCTGGAGAGAAAGTCTCGGATGGTGAAAATCGTGCTACACTAAAGAGGAGTGCTCCTGCATCAACCACCACTGAATATGCCAAAGCTGACCCTGTTCAAAGAGGAATTGAGGCTCTTATGCCATCTAAGAGGAGCATGACAAAGCTAGTGGCCAGTGAATTTCCCAAAATTCAACCTGTGCAAAGTAGTGCTCTTGAGGACATAACTCAATCTAGAATGACTGTAGCTGGTGGTTCTGCTGCAGGAACCCTGCCTCAGTGGCCCATGGATGAGTTTCTTGGACTGAATGACTTCCAATTAAATTATGGTTTCCCCGACAATGGATCATCAAAGGTATGCTTATAGTTACTTTTATCAAATATCATGCTTAACCTCATGTTTTGGCCTCTGCGGGCTCTGCCCTTGAAGAAGATACAATGCAAGGTATCCATTGATCAGATGGACTAAAGGTTGTCTTTATTTGGGGAGAGCGTGGGTGGGAAAATAGTGATGATAATTATTACAAGGTTGGGTTTCCTGGGTTTGTTGAGGCTTGGAAGTTGGCATCATGTTTGATAATTATCCACAAGCCTAGTTTTCATCATTCTGAGTGAGTATTTGACGTTCTGGCATTACTTGGGTTGCCATAAGGATGCCCTTAGCTTGCGGTAGTGATTGAATCGATGAAAAACTAATGACTAGACAATGTGCTAAAATTTATTTCTTATTTGCTAACGGTGTCACGTCAACGCTTAAGGTTTAGTGTGCCTTCTGTTCTTTACTATATCTCTTCAACTTCTTAATAGAAAAGACTATTCGATGGTAGGTCTCACAAACCCCAGGAAGAGAGATGCTTTGTAAGAGCCCCTCCTTTGCAAGATCCCTTGGAAATCTCTTCAAAGTTTTTGCCTCATTCTCTTATGACAACTGCCTATTGTCAATTTACAAAAGCAGCTACCTAATATAAAGTTTTTGTTTGTGTCTCTGTTACAAACTGCCGTCAATGTGGCCAACATCTCCCCTGCTTTTAATTATTTTCCTTTTCATTTTTCAAATTCCTTTCAATTTAAAACCCCCACACTGTTGCTTTATTAATCTTGCTCAAAATCCATCATAATTTAAGATCCAGGCAACAAATTGATTGTTGGGCTCACTATAGGTAAGTTCTCCCTTTCTTGAAGTTGTAATTACTAACTAATATCTCATGTTAGTTTTTTTTTTTTTTTTTTTTTTTTTTTTTTTTTTTTTTTGACAAATCATGTTAGGGATTTTACATTATCGGGATTAATTTCAATTTAGGTTTTCTAATTTGTTGCAATTGTTCAATACTCCAAAAGAAGGCTTTGATTGGGGTCATTGTTTGATTATATGCTGAAGTGGTCTTTATGTCAGAGAATGAGTAATGAAGTAAGAACAGAAGAACATTTGCAACATAATAATCTTATTTACTATTCATCTCCAAACAATCACATACCACATCAATTCCTTTTATATGCTCATTAAATATAGTACAATTTGTGAGGAAGGTCCTTTTAAGTAGACCTTTTTGTGACAAAGGCCCTTTTATAAAAAAGGTGGCACAAAAGGTCCTTATATCATGTTTAGGTTGTGAGGAGGGTCCTTTGACCATTTTTTGGCATTGACTTTGTTATTTTTCGGCCAAAAAAAGTCACATCAAAGTTCTCTCTTTTCTCCCTCCTCTTTTCCCTCATTTTTCCCTTTTTTCCCCTATTAAACCCTAATTTCTGAAAACAATTAACACTATAACTTCAATTGTAATCACATAAATTAAAATTGAAGGATATTCAAAGTAATTCAAGGCTAATCCTCCCCACAATGAGAGAAATCAGGGAAAAAAGGGAACTTAATAAATCACGTGCTTTACCTGTGGCTTTTTTTGGCCCGGAAATAAAAAGTCAACGCCGGAAAATGGTTTAAGGACCCTCCTCACAACCTAAACATGATATAAAGACCTTTTGTGCCACCTTTTTTATAAAAGGGCCTTTGTCACAAAAAGGTCTACTTAAAAGGACCTTCTTCACAAATTTTCCTTAAATATACTACGTACCACAATATTAAAAAATAGAACCATAACTAGAACGTACAATAGACTAGTAACCATAAATTGCAGGCTATTATCATGTCCCTATAATTAAGGAACATTACTTTAAACTCGCTCTACTGCATTAAATTAGTAAAACTATGAAGCACTTCTCTTTTATTTGTCATTCACTTCTGACCACTTGATAAGTTTTGTTGATGCAATTATGCAAATTATCACCTAGCATCATATCTTTGAAGCACTTCTCTCCATGCTTGATGCACTTTATCCATCTTTGTTTTTTTTTTTTGTCCGACCTCACTTTCCATGGTGGTTTTTGCTCTACATTTATTTGATAGGTCATTGTTTCCTCTTTTTTTTTTTCATCATTTATTTGATAGTAACCAGTGAGAATGAATAATTAAATATGAAGTTAAGAACAGTTACTACAATATAACTTCATTACTATTCATCCTCAAATAATCACCTTTTTTTTTTTGACAAACAATTAATCACATTTATAAGCTCATACAACATACTTCATTACTAAAAATAAGCATCATAACTAGAATGTGGAATGGCCCACTAACTCAATAGCATCCACTAACACATTAACAATACTCATAAAATAATCATCTCCCTATAACTAAGGTTCATTGTCAGACTATCGACTATTGGAACTCCTTGGTCTGCCCTTTTTCACCTACCAAGAGTTCCAACGAGCAACATCCCAAATTGTGAAAGAAAGTTTCAGAAAACTGAGTGAGGGGGAAGGATTAATGATTCCAGAAAATGAGTTTAAGATCAGACGTGCAATCCTTTTGATGGTTGTTTTTTTTTATCTCTTTCTCTCAAGTAATTCGAATCTTCCTTACTACGGCACAACTTAAATGTTTTCAGTCCTTGGCTGTACAGACCATTAATCTCATTCATTTGTTTGAGTTCCTTTAATGGACGATATTGAGCTCCCTTCATCAACATCCCTGAAACTCTTTTATCTTAGGCCATTAAAGGATCCCATACCAACCCTGCAGTAAATGAAGAAAAGTTGTACTTTGATTCCTAATCGGCTGATCCAAACCTCAATGAGCAAGTTGTATTTAACTGGAATCCTCCTTTAAATTCTGGCTTTGTTAGCATACTATACTTAGCAAGCTTCTTGGCCATGATCAAGCGTATAAAGAATCTGGTCAAACAAGTACTACATTTTAAAGAAATATTCTGCAGGCTATTTTAGGAAAATTCCCTCAGTTTTACACAGCTTCTAGATAAAGAAATTACTATGGTCCAACACTGAACTCAAAGTTTTTGCTGTGTTAGCTTATCTGCCTGCGATGATATGTAGTATGTCCTTTTCCTTGGGTAATTGCCCCTAGACATCTGTTGAGCCAATATTGTTGTCTAGTCATGGACCTGCCATATTAAAAGAAATTTTTGAGGGTGAGGTGATATACCCATAAGCTAAATATGAAACCTTATTATAAAGATACAAATCATAACATTCACAGCACCTGATACATTGCTAACAGCCTAACACATTATTATGGGTAACTAAATATCTTAAAATTTACAATTGCTCTGATATCTGTAAGAAAGCCCTCCAACTTTGAAGAATTGGGCCTGATAAGTTATCTTAACTTTCTTGGTAGGTAAACCATGCCTTAGGTCTTTTGACATATATATATATATAGGCTCTACACGTACTTTTGCATACATTAGTTTTGGTATTCTTGGACTACTGCTGGAGGTTTATCTGTGTTCTGTCTAAATTTTACTCTAAAATTGGTAACTCTTTTTACTCTTCATTTCCTTCAGCATTCATCATAATCTGTTCTCTTTTTGACAGGCTGACAGTGGCAAGCTTGGAGACTCCGACTCTTCAATTCTAAGGTCCATAGAAGATGATTTGGATAGCGATGATCGGTTGGGCCAGGTTCCAGATGTTTCTTGGACAGTGCCCCAGGTGCCATCACCACCCACTGCGTCAGGACTGTATTGGCCCAAATCGTCTCAGCACATGGTTGACAATGCTGTGTTTGTGCCCGATATATGCTGGCCACAGGGGCCAAATTACTTCCAGTAAACGCCGTGATGGTAAAAATGCAGTGCTAGCCAATCTATTTAGGTTTATACTATTTAAATCTAGCAGGTCGACCTAGTGGTTTAGGTATCAACATAGTTTAGTGTAATATTCTTGTGGTGTACTCAAATGTGCTAGGGATTTGTTAATTTTTCAAAAAATGTCTGATGATGGTTGGGACTTCACAATATGATGTATCTTTATAATAACTTATTCATAAGGGGGGAAAAAAATATAGAATCTGTATTCGAAGTGGGGAAAGTAAATACGCCACAAGACTGGAAAGACCTGTTAATGTTGTGAGAACAACTTTATTTTTTCGCTTTATGTTTTTTATTTTATTTTTCGAGCAAATTTCACTTTAAGTCATTCTGTTCAAATTTATATTACAAGTTTATTTACTATTAGGTTATCCTCGTACGATGCACGATTCGAATTAATCTTTCTTATAAGCATCAAACATATTAGATATGTGAAATTATAATTTAGGGGAGAAACTAGGTTAAGTCCCGTGCATGTACAATAATTTAATTACATTAAATTTAAAAAAATTAATATAAAAATAACATGGATAAAATACAATAACATACTTTGCATATGTATATATATTCTTTTTTGGCATATATAGTGAAATTACACCATTGTTAATTAAAGATGGCACCAGGCCAGCCCGAAGCGCGGCATGAAAAAAAATGACACGACATGGGCACGAAAAAAGCACGGCACAATATTGTGCGTGTGGGTCGCGCCTGGACTACCTTTATTTGGGAAAAGCATGATAAAGTGCGGGACGACAAGGCGTGACACGACAAAGCATGCTAAAATCAATGCAAATTTGATAAGGTACGCAAGCCCGGCACGGTGGCACATGAGCCTGGGTTGAGCACGGGCCAACTTTTTTGAGAACTTCGGTCGGGCACGGCATGACAAAAAAACTCGTAGGCCGTGTCATGGGCCGGGCCTAACTAATCTCATAGCACGTGGTTCTGGCACGAGACGCGACCTAGAGCCATCTTACAGTTAAGTATTACTAAATCAAAATATGTTGACATTATTTTTCTCCTAAATTTGTACACATGTCGCTTTCTCATAAAAAATTTGCCACCTAAATACTTTAATGAGATCATTTTAAAATTTTTATTTTTTTAAAAGGAAAGCTACTTTTTTATTTTTTATTTTATTTTTTTATTTGTCTTTAAAATTGTTTCAAATTGATACTTTTACACACTACTATGCAACCTATTAATCGTTAGTAGCTAAAATAATTTTGACCATCATATTAATAAATGTTCTCTTCCTATTCTTTTTTTTTTTTTTTTTTTTTTTTTGAGAAAGTTCTCTTCCTATTCTTGTTCCCCTTTCTCTTCCATTACTGTCATTTGGTCACCATCATATATATATATATATTTTAGTGGTAGCTAAGTAGGATAATTGATTTTAATGGTAGTCAAGTAGGGATTTTTTTTTCCCGAGTTTTTAGAGAACCAAGTTGGATAATAGATTTTAGTGGTAGCCAATTAAATACGAGATTGTTAATTTTTTTTTTAAAATTAAATAATTTAAATGACACGTAAACAAAATTGACAAATGAGATTTCCCACTTTAAATTAATTAAATATAAAATATTATCTTTTGATATTAGGAATTTTATCTAAATATAACAAATTTTAGCACATAAATATACGTGTAAAAAAAATTATTTTAAAAAATTCAAACAAATCGTGCATCGCACGCCTTCATCTAGTACAAATTAATATTTCACTTCCCCTCTTCTCTTGTTATTCTTACAATTGAATTATAATTCCTTACAAATTTATTTCTTGGTTCGTTATTTTTTCTAGGATTCCAATCTTCTTAGGGTTTGAGTTTCAATTTCCCAATCCTCAATTAGAATTTTATTATTCTTCTTTCTTTCTTAATTGTTTGATCCTTGTTTCTATCTATCTATACTTATTATTTAAAAAATATAAATTATTTTTATATCATTTATATGCCACATGTCATCACAAATCACTCATATGTCACATGTCACCTCTCTTTGTTTATCTTAGCTTTATGCATTCCGTAACTTACAAATTCTAAAATGAATCTGGTTCACACTAATTTATCGTGGACCACTAACATTAAAGACAATATGATTGTTTATTATAAAATAAAAAAAAGCTCACTATATTAAAACAAAGGTTTTTATGTTGAAATAAAAGTTAGTGAGACATTATAAAAGCTATAAGAGGCTAATTTTTTAATGAAATTTTTAATATAATGGTTAATATGAATAATAAAGATCACTATGTTAAAACCAAGTCACTATTCAACCTAGTGTCATACTTTACGTTCATAATAACATTAAAAGTCACACAAATTTTAAAAAAGGTTACTATGTTAAAAAAAAGGTTACTATTGCCGTAAAAAAAAAAAGTTACTATATTAAAATTAGGGGTCACTATGTTGAATATAATGTCACTTACATGTGTATAACCTTAGATCCACAATAATATTATTGTCAAGATTTTATGTCCGACTTGCAAATTTAATTAAGTAAGAAAATGAAGTGTTTCATTTCCATAATAAAATAAAGTTGAACAAATTAGTACACATTATATAAACTTATGAAGTATAATAAAAAGTAGTTTTTTAATCTCTTAAACTTAAAATATAACAACTAATATGTTATTTCATATTTCACAATATTCACGTATATATACCTAATTAAATTCCTTCATCTTCTTCCACAGTTTCATCATCACTCTTTTTTTCTTTTAAGTTACACCTCAATGAATTTCAAAAAAAAAAAAAAAAAAAAAAAGTTACACCTCAATGGTTATGAAACAAGTACTTCGTATTTTATTACAGTATATTATAAGTTCCAACTATTGAAAAGCGTACCTATACACAAAATAACTTAACTAATAATTCGTGTATTAAACGAACAAAAACGCTAGCTCCAAATCTCCAATGTTTATATACAAATATACAATGTTATGCAACATGATATAATTTAAAGAAATATTAAATTCTAACTATGGATCGCACGGGAATAACCTAATAATAACTAGTAATAATTATAAAGTTAAATTTAAACCATTTTTTTTTTGTGCAGTGTTAGAGCGAGCTTCTTATCCTAATGCTCCCCTTCTCCTCAATCTTCATTACCATGAACTCATGAAGCACACTTTAGGTATCCACTTGTTTATTGATAATTTGGTCTACATTGCTAAAAGTCAAACCTTTTTTTTTTTTTTTTTTTTTTTTTGGAAATTAACATTAATTGGTGATACACAAAGTTCGGGCTTGATGTCAGATGGTTGTTTGCTTGTATCCATTAGAAATCTTAAGTATGTAGGATAAATCATGTTATTGGTGAAATGAAGCAAAATTTATGAGCTTTTATTATTATTATTATTTTTTTATTTCAATATATTTCATCCTAAGTTACCAACCATAACAATATATGGTATAATTTGCCAATTCGGTAAAGCAAGCACATTGACATTCAACGGCTGGCAAAAATAACCTTGTTTAATGTCATACAAAGTACATTCAACGGCTGGCAAAAATAGCCCTGTTTAATGCGGGGAGCTATTGGAGTATTTGGTCATCAAAGAGTCTTGTGAAGGAGGGGGTACTATGGAAGGTGGGCGATGGTAAGAAAATTAATTTATGGAAGGACCCTTGGGAAGCCGATGCGGAGGGCCATTTCATTCTGAGGAAGTGCCTACTCTACCAGGGTAAGTGACATTATTGTCACTGATGGTAGGAGTGGAATCATGGGATCATCGATGAGCATTTTGTAGAAAGGGATTGAAAGATTATGATCGTTGCCTTTTGCGTTGATTAACCTTGAGTATAAATACGCATATACAAGAGTTATTTAAGGAAACTAACTAGCTACAAACTAGGCTAGGATATATACACTTACCAAACTAATTATATACAAAGTCAACCGAATATATTTGCATGTATTCTAACAATCCCCCGCAGTCGTAGCGGGAGACTCACGAACGCTAAGACTGGCACAAAAGTCATCAAATAGTACTCGGGGAAGTCCCTTCGTAACACTAGTAGAAAAAAGGCAACCCTCAATTGCCACCGGTTCAGTCCAAACCGGTGGCAAAAACCGGCTAAAAAATGGGCAGGGTTTTAGACCAAGCACAATGGCACCGGTTCAGTTCAAACCGGTGGCAAAAATGCTTAGACCACTGGTTTGAACCGGTGCTAATTTAAAAAAAAAACCCGCCTATTGTGCTCCATTCTCTTTTGTTCTCCCTTTTCATTTTCCTTCTCTTTCGTTCTCAATCCCTCCTTCTCCCTTCAAATTTTGCTCCCTCCTTCTCAAACTTAAACACCAGCAGCCGTCGTCCTTCACCGGCCTTCGTTCGTCACCGACCTTCTCTTTTAACGGATTCTAGGCCCGAAAGGCACAGGAGCAACCAATCACAAGCACACAAGCCACAAGCTGCCCTTCCTCCGCCACTGCCGCCGTGGCTTAGCTGCCCCTCAAAGCCACTGCCACCGCGTCTTAGCTGCCCCTCACCACTGCTGTTTTGCCCTCCATCTCTCCTCCCCTTCCACCTCCAATTATGGTGGTAATTTTCACCTCACTTAGGGTTAGTTTCATTTTTTTTGAGCATTTTTAACAAATTTTTTTAAGGCTCTACCTATACTTTGTTTTGCAATTTTAACAATTGTTGGGCATGTGAACAAACTAAAGTTAGGGTTTGTGAATTTTAGGTGGTTGCATGTATTTTGAATTTGTGAATTTTAGGTGGTTGAATAGTGAATTAAGCTAAAAAAATATAGTAACATTATTGTTAAAATGCCTTAGCTGGTGGTTTTGGTGTTATTTGGTGGTAATTAAGGTGGCAAGTGGTGGGGGTTTTGGTGTTATTAGGTGGTAATTAAGGTGGAAGGTGGTAATGGTTTTGGTGTTATTAGGTGGTAATTAAGGTGGCAAGTGGTGGTGGTTTTGGTGTTATTAGGTGGTAATTAAGGTGGCAGGTGGTGGTGGTTTTGGTATTATATAAGGTGGTAATTAAGGTGTTTTGGCAGTAGGGGAGTGAATATGGTGCCCGGATTGTTGAGCAGGGGAGGCTGGAATTGAGTGGCTGGTTTGGTTGTGGGTTGTAGCATTGATTGAGTGAGGGAGCAAGGGAGTTTTATGTTTTGGTGTGGTGGAGGATAAGGTGAATAGAGAGAGAGAGTGTGTGGTGTAGGATTAGAGAAGGGCAAGGGCAACAACATACTTTATGAAAATTGGCATTTGACCCTGTAGACATCTAAAAATGTCTCCCCAAAACCAAACCCGATGATGAACAACCTTTCACCGTCACTATTGGTCGGGTTTAGTATTTAATCCCGAGAGTGCTTAAAAAATCTTATTTTAT